GTATTTAGTAACAATCATTTACAGAGTCATTAACACCACTAACTTGAGTCACCACCAAATATTATATTCTATGATTCGGTTAATTTCCTATTTTGTTGTTGCTTAGATTGTTCAATTTTCAACATCAGTACTGGTATTTGGCTTTCATCACACACACATCCATAGAGCAACAACTGCCCAGCCTGCTACCCTGGGAAAAATCAGGAAAGAGTTTTCATAAGGGCTTTCCTAAATGAAATATTTCTCCACCAAGAATATATTTTCAACTACAGAATATTATGAAAACTCGTATTGATATAGTGAAATGTTTAAAATACACATTAATTGTGCATTGACTCTAATTCAAAGGCATTGTCTTATCCTTCTTTGAGGTTACTGACGCCATGATGGAAGGAAGCCATCTGTTACCAGAGGCAGTGTTATTATGGAAAGAGCGTGAGGCTCAGAGTCATGGGTCCAACCTCGCATATGACTTCAATAAATCACCTAGAATTTCAGGATCACTATTCTCCTCCGACAGAATAGGAGCATATTTGCCTCACAAAGATGTTGCAAAAATTATTATAAAAGTGATAGGTGTAGAGATCAGACATTAGACATTGAACTCTCTCAGGGCCAGCTCTCTGGCTCTAACTAGGAGAAATAAGAAGACAGTTCTGTATTTCTGTTGTTGTTAAAGGCTAATTACAACATTTTGTGTATAATAATTATTGTTATAAATTTGCATACACTCCCCCAACAAATGTTGAGCCAGCGTTCTTCTTTACTGCAGGCTCTTTCTGCTAAGTGGCCTAATAACTACAAGCTCTGGGCTTATGACTACTGTTTATAAGCCCATTCTTAAGAATATGTTGGGTAGTGATAGACCATGGCAAAAGGAAATGACATTGTTGGCCCCATCACAGCCTCAGTCCACATACTCAGGGTTCTACCTAACAAAACTGCCAGTCTAAGAAAAGCAACCAGAATGTCTATACATATATGTGATAAAGGATCAAACACATCAACTCCAAATACCTTTGTTTCACCACAGTGTCTGAAAATCATACATAAAGTATGTGTGCTCCTTTCTTCTTCCCTTTCTTTTCTACCTTCTCCTTTCTTTCTTTTGCAAATGGCTAATCATTTTGTAAAGCAAAGCCATCAACATATGGCATCATTATGAAGCAATCTGTTGGCCTCATGACATGAGGTGTTAGAAGAAAGAGTTAGAAGAAAGAGTTAGAAGAAAGAAAGTTAGAGTCGTAATTACTCTAGTACTTGCTCATATTCATGCTTTGTATACTTTCAAGATTTTCACTTTACTATTTGTGTTTTTTTGTTTTCTAAACCTCAAAATCTGATTGTATTGAGAAACACTCGTTCTTTATAATTTTATTTATTTGTTGAGATAGAGTCTCTCTCTTGTTGCCCAAGATAGAGGGCATTGGTGTGATCTCGGCTTACTACAACCTCTGCCTCCAGGGCTCAAGTGATTCTCCTGACTCAGCCGGAATTACAGGCTCCCGCCACCACGTCCAACTAATTTTTGTATTCTTAGTAGAGACCCGGTTTCACCATGTTGGCAAGGCTGGTCTTGAACTCCTGATCTCAGGTGATTCTCCTGCCTCAGCCTCCCAAAGTGCTGCAATTACACAGATAAGCCACTGCGCCTGGTCACACTTGTCCTTCAAATTACAAACTATCTACGAAAAGTAACTGACCTGGCTTTTCTCCATTCAAAAATAGAAATCTGAATGGCTCTTGTGATTCTAGGCATAGTGTTATGTCGTGCTGGAAATTAGATGAAGGGTATTTAATCACTAAATCTGACTTTCTTACCTAAAACTCTCACCCTAAACTGAAGGAGACATTGTATAAAAGTTTGATGTCAAGCATGATTTAACAGTCATAAGATTCCGTTAACTCACTGCTATCTGGTTAAAGCCCTACTTGGGGGTTGGAACTAAACTGAATGTCAGGTGTCTTGAAATCTAAGTGAGAAACATTATTTTATTCTTTTTAGGGGGAAGAATCTTGGATAAGGGTAAAAGGAGGAAAAGGATATTGAAGTTCGCGAGAATTCTTTATTCCAAGAAGTTTTCTGTAGTCGATCATAATTTGGTTATTCATAAGAAAAGGAGGAAACAGGAAGAAGATAAACGTGGTATGATGCCTAGATGCACCTGCAGATGCAAACCACAAGGATATGTTGTTCTAGGTTTATTAAAGCCCATTGTTCCGTGGACTGGCACTGAACTGCACAGTTGGAAAATGCCATCACTTATCTACAACAGTCCAGCTTCAAGAACAATGACATGCATTTTCATAGAAGCAATGACATTCATATTGAAAACATATCATTTTCCCAAATTCCTTTTCTTTTTATTTTTGAAGTTAACACTGTTATGACAGGGAAGATCGGCTTCTTTGTACGCAGAAGTGCCCGCTCTCCATACGCCACATCTCGGATATGAATGTTAAAAGTCTCTGTTCAGAATCTTTTTGACATGTTAGAGATGTCTGCATTAGTGTTTCTCAGTGACTGATTTCCGTGTTCTGAATGTGTTCTCCACAAAATTCATGTGTTGAAATCCTGATCCTGAATGTGATGGTATTTGGAGGCAGGACCTCTGGGAATTGATTTGGTTAGGAAGAAGGAGCTTTCAGGAATGGGATTAGTGCCCTTATAAAAGAGACCCCCAGAGAACTCTCCAGAGGCCTTCCACCCTATGACACAAGGAGAAGTTCCCATCTGTGAACCAGGAAATGATCCCTGACCAAGATACCTTGATCTTGGACACCCCAGAGCCTCCAGAGTTGTGAGATACAAATTTCTGTTCTTTATAAGCTATCCAATGTATATAATTTTGCTATAGCAGCGCCAAGGGACTAAGATATTAATAAAGTAAGTATAAGACCTCTGTTGAAATGCACAAATAATATCTGAGAAGAAGTAGAGTAGCTTTAGGATGCTCCATGAAGTTTCATTTGTTTGAGTTGGCTAGTTAATTATTATTTGGCCACCTACAAAGAATCTACTCCTGGGAAATTCAAGTGGAAGCCATATCCAGTACTTGCACGAACTCCACGTCATCATAAAATGCCTGAATGAGGTGAGATTAATCCATGGAGAGCTTAAGGTAAAACTGGGGGGAAACACTGAGGAGGCTGGGAGATGTCACACATAAACTTTGTCTATTAATCATTTTGTCTTCAGCAGAAACAATTCAAACCATTGTGTATCTATTTGAGTTTCTGAGGACCCGGGGTGAGGAAGATGTGAACCCCATTCCTGAGAAGTTCTGGCATCTAGTTAGAGTCTAGCTAGAAGTCATATTCTAACTTCTAGTGAAGTGTGACCCCTGAAACAGATCAGCCAACCATTAACCCCCATATAAGTGCTAACCTGCACACATACATCAAGTGCTACAGGAATTTAATGAAAAGGAAGATTGTTTTCTCACGGGACTCAACATAGATTCCCAGGAGATAACAGTTGATGTAGTCCAGGAAAGATACGCAGAAAAGACATCAGTAAGGAGGGGGTTGTGAATGAAAAGAGGGGGTTGTGAATGAACAAGACTTCCAGGGAGTGATCCATGGGACCCATCTATAGAGCCAGGGATCGCAGGCACAGATTCAGAAATGGCCCGAGGCTCCTGAAGAGGCCTCTCTGCAGGACTGGAAGGTGTGCTGCAGACACCGAAGTTCTGAACCACCTCACTCTGTTCTTCCATGGAAACCAACCTTGCTCTCAAGATCCCCATTTCTCTATGTGGCCATCTGAGACCTGCTTATCCTGGAGGTCTGAACTCAGCTGTCTACATTAGATGCCACTTCTAAATGTCCCTGTAGCATCTTGTGGCTGTTCATTTGGCACAATTCTGAATTGCTTTTTTTTTTTTTCATTGAATTGAGTGTTTATATCTACATTGTATTTTCCATTTTATTCTAAACCATGTAAGATTAGACCTGATGAATACATGGCAGGTGCTAAGTAAGTATTTGTTGTGAATAAATGAGTGATGTGGTATATGGCCACAGTGTTGCTGGTGCTGAAAAGGGAGCTGTGGCTGCTCCTGGAACAGAAGATCTGTGCTAACTTGCACTCGGATCATCATCACAAACTGGTGGAAAGACAGACAAGAGCCGTCTCTGCACTGTGGGCGCCTTCTTGCCATGTCCTCAGGGGCTCTTCCTCGGTGCGTGAACAAAGAGAGAAATGGAGCTCTGTGCTTTCTCTTCTAACTGGTGCACTAATCTTGTTTCTAAGAGCGGGGTTTTCATGACCTAATGTAACCCAATTTCCTCCCAAAAGCTCCAAATACCATCATATTGGTGGGAGTTAAGTCTTCAACATATGAATTTTAGGGGGACGCATTCCATCCATAACAGTCCCTCTCCCGGGGACTTCAAGAATAGAAAATTCTCTTGCTTTAATCTCAGAGTGAAGACTTCCTCCATCTCCACCCACAGTGTGTGTGATTCATCTTTCAGAGGTATCTCTGTCCTGTCCAAACCCTAGAATGGACCACGGTGCAAGAAAGAAAACAACGTCATTTTTATTCGTTAGATTTCACAGGTTACATGATAAAGCTCACATAAAAATTTCACTGGAAAAAAAAATTTTAAATTTATTTTTGTTTATTTCATTTTATTTGTTGTTTGTTTTGCTTTTGAGATGGAGTCTCACTCTGTCGCCCAGGGTGGAGAGCCATGGCATGATCTCGGCTCACTGCAACCTCCACCTCCTGGGTTCAAGCGATTCTTCTGCCTCAGCCTCCTGAGTAGCTGGGATTATACGCATGAGGCACCACCGACCCAGCTAATTTTTGGATTTTTAGTAGAGGCAGGGTTTCACCATCTTGGCCAGGCTGGTCTCCAACTCCTGACCTCCTGATCTCCCGGCTTCAGCCTCCCAAAGTGCTAGGATTACAGGCGTTAACAACGGTGCCCGGCAATTTTTAAAATGTATATATTCATTCATACTAATTTCTCAAAAGATGTGTCATTTTTTAACTCTGGGTGCTTAGCACATTGAATGACCCAAAGCCTGTCTAATATACCACGTCCACAGGCACCTGTCTAATATACCGCGTCCACAGGCACCTGTCT